AACTCCGCTTGGATTGCGTGCCATGCCATGCGGAGTACGATATCATGTACTGTACGCCAATTGATGTCTCTCTTCTGTGCATTTGCTCTGTCTGGCTTTGGGCGGTCAGTCATGCTCCTTTGTTTGATTGTCTATTCGACATAACGGTATAACAGATTTATGATTGACAGACGATCTATGCAACTACTGCTACTGATGATGATGACTGCAGATCCTCCGTTTGCCTCTGTGCAGAGCGCCGATGATAGTCGGTGATGGGTTGAGGAGGGATACGGCCTTAAGAGCAGTGGGCACCATGATGACTCTGGCTATAGAAGATAAAACTGACCAGAATCCTTTGGCCAGGATCTTTCGTGATTAAGAATTTGCTTCCTCCGTTGGTTCCCTCAGAAGGCCCGACAGCTACGTGTGTCTTCCGATCCAGCTAACCTCGCTAGATAGGCCTTTTACTATGTGCAACTAGTCCGGCAAGCTCGAGACCATTAGAGGATGTTATGAACCTAACGCACATCAATCCATGTCTGAAAACACCTAGACCGTCTACCTCCCCGCATCCCCACTCACCAACGGAGTGGGATACCGCGGCCCATACGCCGCACTCTCCAACCGCTCCATCTCAATCGTATCCCGTCTCTCCGTCTCTCGCCCGGGCAGAATCCCCTGCGTACTCGACCCGGTCCGCACAGACTCCGCCTTTCCATCCGCCATACGATCCTCGAGACCCTTCTCATGACCAACTGCAGCAGCAGCAGCAGCAGCAGCAGCAGCAACAGCAACCCGACACCTCCGATGCGTCGCGACAACAGCCGACCCAGCGCCCACGACCCACCACGAGAACAAGACGGGCAAGGCGGTGCGCAGCTGATTCTCGCACCCGTCGCTCCAGATCTGCACGAGCACCTGGTACAGCTCATGCGCAGGGAGGGCGTACGCCCACCGGAAGAAGCCCGGTTGCATCTCGAAGGGACTGACGGTGCTGGCGACGTTGAGGATGGCCCAGGTCAGGATGCAGAAGGGCATGAACTGCATGGGCACGTAGGTGGTCAGCACGTCGACGATCTGGAAGTGGATGTGCATGTACAGCCAGACGGCCATCCAGCAGAGCACGAACTGGCCGCCCGAGACGGCCCACGACTCGCGGAACGCCCAGATGTAGCCGACCATGCCCAGCGCCCCGACGCAGGTGTAGCACCCCGAGATGCTCAGCCGCAGCAGCCCGTTGGCCCGCGGCGGCAGCCGCGTGAACAGCCGGAACTGCGCCGACAGCCCGTTCAGCGCCATCATGAAGAAGAACTGCTGGATGATCGGCATGACGATCGAGACCGTGTTGTAGAGCACCCGCCCGCCTTGCGCGGTGGCTTTGATGTTGTGTTCGGTCGCGGTGATGGGGTCCAGGAATGCGGTCAGTGCGGTTGAGGTTGTTGATGACGCGGTGGAGGAAGACGGGGCGCGGAGGAGGGTTTGGAGGACGTTGGACGCGTTGCGCGCGTAGTAGGTCGACCGCGTCGCTTCGATGAGCGTGAGGAGGTTGGAGTAGACGGCGCTCTGTGCGAAAGCTGGGTAGCGGGCCCCGTTCCAGATGTAGGTCAGCGCGGTGGATGCGCTGGCGTTGCTGTCTGCGGCCCCGGACAGCGAGGCTGCCAGCCGCGCGCTGGCCCCCGGGTTGACGTAGATGGCTCCCCAGTAGTCCCCGTGGCAGACGGCGTTGCGCACATCCCGACCCGAGGCAAAGTCCTCAGTGGATGCCTGGTGCAGCGTGGGGAAGGTCGCGCCCTGCAGGGCTCCGTATGCGTCGAGGACGGATTGGCCGATGACGTCCCCGTCGAAATCGACGTACAGGAGCTTCAATTGATGGATCCGTTCGCTATCCCGATACTGCGTCCCGTACAGATAGGACATATTGCCGAGGAAAAGAAGCTGTAGAAGCAGAAAGCTCATCCCCACTGCTCCGAGGAAGCTCCTCCAGTGCTGTTTCCAGTCATCCTGGTGAGAGGACCGCGCCGGCGGAGAGCTCATGTTCGTTCGTGTCTTCAGGTCGCAGGTTGTCCGCCCTTCAGCACAAATGCTCCTTGCTAGAATCAAAGTACAGAGACTCCTAGCCCTGAGTGATCATGGCCGCTATTTATTTCTATTCCAGCCAAGCTCGTTAGGGGGCGACATTGATAAAGATTCAGGGCTATAGTTCGGTTCCGGCAGGCGGAGCGGGCGCGAGATCCGATGACTAAGCGGAACGACCGGTGCAGAGACCGAGCAAGCAGCCAAAGAGCCTCAACCTTAACCTTTTTATAGATGCAGATCAGCTGGTGATTGGAAGGGAAGTCCCAGGGAGCGGGCATCCTGTATCCTGGTCTAGCACTGTTTAGTGAGCTAGACTCCGGACATGGATCGTGGACCCCTATTCTAAGGAGTGGTGCGCGAGCGCTGAGACTCTTCATTGAACGCAGAGTGGTGGCAGAATGACTCGACGCTGGGTCTTACCGCTTTCTGCTTGGAGTGCTTTAAAATGGGCTTTCAAAGGAGATCCGATCAACGTTTACTGATCTTTCAACACGCAAACTGTAAATCACTTGGCGGTGGCAGTAGTACCGCTTTGAGCGGCAGAAGCTTAAGCTGAGACCTCGAAACGCCGGGTCAATTTCCTCAAGGTACAGCCTCGGAGAAGTCAAATGGAGCACTCACAAATCGGAGGGCCGAGGGCGCCGATACGCCGATACGCCGACATCAGAGGAACAATAAGACAGAAACAGGTCGATGAAGGAACGTTAAGCCACATCTATGCCGGCGCTGTGGACAAAAATAATCGCATCGGATAATCTTCTTATTCATCAAGATCTTATATACATCATAAGGGCAATAACGCATGGGATCTTTTAGCTGGTGCTAAAACTCTTGTCTAGGTCTAATGCTCTCCAACGGGTATAAGCTGTGTGATGGCAACATCATAGCAAGAAAAGGTTGGGGCAATATGCTATCCAAGATGTGCGTCAGGTGATCTGTGGCAGGCCTCACGGTTGAGGATGGCTCGGGCAACCTCCAACAGGCGTGTCGACTAGATGGGTAGGTCGAGGATAAGATCCTCCATGCTAAGTTCCTGCTGGATATGACGAGGCGATGCTGATTTGCACCGTGCCATAGTCGGGACGGCCATGCGTCGGGTTCCCGGCACCGGAAAGGTCACTGCCGATTCACTGACTGGTATGGGTAGGATATGCGACAAAAATGGAGGATGTGTGTAAAGTGTGTCAGTGGGGGGCGAGAAGGGTAGGTGGAAGGCTGAACAACTGTCGGACTTTAGAGACCAGTCTTGCCCAGAAGACTGGCCAGCTGGTCGACATCCTTGTCTTCCTTTTGGGCGACCTTCTCGTTCTCAGCGAGGTCGGTGTCCCTGAGAAGCTTCTCGGCCTTCTCTTCTTCCTCTTCTTCCTCCTCCTCCTCCTCCTCTTCCTCTTCGCTCTCCTCCTCTTCAAGCTCGTCCAGCTCGTCAACACCCCACATGTCCTCAGGGTCCTCATCGGAGCCGTGCTCTTCCTTGCGAGCCTCGAGAATCTCGCGCAGCTCAGTCACGTTGTCATCATCCTCCATGAAGATGTTACCGTTCAGCTCGATACGGCGGAGGGCGGGAAGACCAGACTTGGTCGCAAAGAGAAGCTGCTTAACACCCTCGGCCGTGATTTCGTTGTACTGAAGACGCAGCGTCTGCACCTTTTCGTTCTTACCCTCAGCCAGGGCCTGGGCGACCTTGACACCACCACGGCCCGAAAGCAAGCAGTCGCTCACACCCAGCTCGCGAAGAGAGGCCCAGTTACCGAGGACACCGGCCAGAGCAGTCGAGCCCATAACGGTGAAAGTGTTATCCTGGAGATCGACGACCTCCAGAGCCTTACAGTAGCTAAGGCCCTCCTTCAGCAGCAACGAGATACCCTCCTGGCGGATACCGTTCTGGGTCATCTTCACGGAGCGCATGCCGGCGGCGTGCACCTCGTAGGCACGTGCCCAGGCAGCCATACTGCCGTTCTCCAGGCGGTTCCGACCGCAGACAATGCTCTCCAGGAGAGGCACCTCCTTGCCAGCCTTGCGGGCCTCCTCCTTGCGCTCAGCGAGTTCGGTGAGGGCCTTGGCGATGTTGGAACCGGCCTCGGGGCCCATACCGTTGTTGTTCAGGATCAGGTGGCGGAGGGGTACGTGGCGGGCGAGGAAGTCGATGAGGGGCTTCTGAGTGTTGGCACCGAAGGCATTGTCGGACAGGTTGACGGTGTGGAGAGTAGAGATCTCGAGAAGGGCGTTCAGGAGGAAGGTCAGAGCGTCGGGGATCTCGCTCAGCAGACGTGAGGTGAAAATGTCGGCCAGCTCGGCGACTTCGAGGCTCTTTTGAGTAGACAGCACGGCGGCGAGGCGCTCGCAGGCGGGGACGCCCAGAGTGTTTCCTCCAAAGCGGATCTCAGTGTAGTCGGTGCTCTCCAACAAGGGCTTGATATGGGTCTCAATGTCCTCAGCGGTGTCCAGCTTGAGGCCTTTGCCCTCGAGCGAAAAGACCTTAGGAGGGGCCATGGCGGGGTAAATCAAATTTCAGGGGGAGGGGTTTGGAAAAAAGGTCAACAGTCAAGAAAGTACAGATGGAAAGGATCGTCAGAAAGACAGACGTAAGGATGGACAAGATCACTGTCCAAGCCAGCAAGTGAGAAAGTTTAAAACAAAAAAGGGGAGGAATGAATGTGATGGAAGTGTATTTGTGTGTGGTGTGTGGTGAGGGAAGATAATGAATTGAAGGGAAAGAAGGGGAAAGAACAAAAGAATGCAGAATGCAGTGAGCGCAGTGTGATGATGCGCCCGCCCGCCCGCCACCTTTTCCCCCCTGCTTCCCTGACAACCGGCTCTTTGCCCGCAAATTTTCCCCGATCGCCGCTATGGCAGGGCATACCGACCAACAGCGCCATTCCGAGCCCATCGCATCATCTTCAACTGTCGCATTAATCAGCAGTTCTCGGCCTGTTTAAGTGACTAGGTATTCCTCCTCCTCGTTGCCAATTGTCTCACCACCCACTCACTGTTCGCTCCATTGCATTCTTTCCTTTTCTCAATTCAGTCGCTCATTCTGCGCCTTTATACCAAGAACCTTCATTCTTCACAATGTCCTGGTTGTTCGGTTCCTCCAAGCGTAAGTCAATTCCCGCGATTATCCGCAACCCTTCTATCTTCACAAATCTTTCCCTTGCCCACAGTTCCTCACCCCATCCACACTACACAATCAAGAACTAACCAAAACCCTTTGCGCAAATCCAGCCGAGAGCGCGCCCGCCGCAGCTCCCACCGAATCCGGCGCCCCCGCCGAGAAGCCCAAGGTCAGTCGCACCCTTCGTTCTGCCCCGATCGAAACAAACCGACTGCACCACCGCACGTTCTACCGATACAAGCCACGCATCCCACCAAAATCTCCTTGTCTAACCATGCCAACAGCCCTGCTGCGTCTGCAAGACCGAAAAGACCGCCCGCGACGACTGCATGCTCTTCTCCAAGACCGACGACCCCACCCAGGAATGCAAGTCGATGATTGACCAGTACAAGGCCTGCATGGCCGGGTATGGATTCAAGGTCTAGAACGTTTTCCCCCCGGGGGGGCTGTTGTGCGGGGAGTGGCATGTTTCTGGGGGCTGGGCGGGGAGATTTTCCGGGCGCGTATGTGAGATCCTCCTCGACTCGGTGGTGGTTGTATAACACGTGAAGGGAATTGTTTTTGGGTACAGTATTGGTACATAGAAGGAGAAAGAGCGCTTGCCAACATTTTCCTGGAGTTTTGGGGTCTGGGAGGCTTTGTTTTCTCCGAGGGGTTTCGCTTTGCTATGGTCGTGTGTATATTAGATAGATCTTTTTTTCTCTGCTCGAATGTTCTTCTCGTGGGCGGTTGTTTTTAGTATCATCTCCCCTTATGCAGTGCAGTATATGTCTTGCGATGGTATTGGTGATTGTGGTCTGTGAAGGTTGTAGTGTCTGCATTGGCAGAGTATCAAGTAAAATCAAATCATTGCTCTTTTGTTTGGTGTACATACATCTGGCATGGACTGTGTTTCGTGTCACAGAGCCATGCACATGGCAAGCCCACGGAAATGAAATGGGGTATCACTATAGAATGACAAAAGGTATATGGAAGGCACCGCCTCTATGGGTCGACCTTAGATCACTGGTTCTTCTGAGTCTCCTCCGCAACCTTCTGGTCAATCTTCCGGCACTGCTGGATCAACTTCCACACACACCATAGATAGGCCAGTCCAAACCCACCGGCTCCGATGAGCACGTTCAGGACCACCCACAGGTCGGGTTTGTCCGAGGGAGGAGGCACGAAAGCTTCCACGACATGCCATGCGATCATGGCAAGGTAGAAGCAGATGTGCACGAGTTTGGTGAGCACATGAGGTTCCGCATTGTCCTCGGACGAATCCCGGCTACGATAGGCCTCGAGCGAGGTTGGCGGCAGGCCCATCAAATAGGCCCAGAGCAAGGTAATGACGAAATACGGCACCCGGAGCTCGTCGCGCTTGAGCAGAGGGTACATGGTCCACGTTCCGAGGATGTTGGCCCATCCCACCCACGCCCGCGTCTCCTTGCTGAGACCCCCGTCGCCAGCCAGGAGCAGTGTCATCGGGAGCAAGGGAAGCAGGACGCTCTTCTCGTGCACCTGGAAAGAGAACAAGAAGAAGCCCCAGGCCACACTTGAGAGTGCGGGGAGCAGAAGGGATGCGCGCGGATGGCGGAAGATCAGGATGCAGGGGATCAAGATCGAACCCAAGGTGGCGCCGAGGGACATGCGCTGAAGGAGACTGGCTTCGAACCGATGGAGCTTGTAGAACGTGTGGATAGCGCACCAAGCATTGGCGACCTTGTCTTCGAACAGACCACGGGCAAACGGGAACACACGATGGATGATCTGCGTCAATTGGAAAGCGACTGCGTAGAGCACGGAATGCTTGTCGAGATCGATCGGCAGCTGCTGTAGAAGAGGAGGCTGCGGAGCCGAGGCCAGGATCTCTCGTGCCTCTTCACCGATCGCGCCGATCACCAATGGGCCGAAGAGAACCGCAAATGCCACGAGGGTGACAAGCGCAATGCAAAGAAGGCGGAGGATTCGGATTTTCGGGAAAATGCACACGCCCAAGAGGAAGGCGAACAAGACGGGGGCATAGTACAGCGCCATCTGCTTAAAGCCGAGGGCGCCCACAAAGAAGATGCAAGCCCAGAGCATCCGTCCCGCCAGGATGGCATCCAAGCTCGCAACGACGAGCCCCAGCATCACCGTGTTGTACTGGAAATGACCATGGTCGATGAGAATGGTCGCGGGTTGAAGTAGGATTGCGACAAGCGCAATCGAAGCAGACCAGACAGGCACATTTTGCATCCGAGTGTAGCGGCGCAAGAAGTTGACCACAGCCGGGATGAAGACAAGATACTCGGAAGCCACTACCGTACCGCGCATGAACACCTTCAGCAGGGGATCTTCAAGTCCGCGAGACTTGTCAAGAGCGAACCAGCTCGGGTCAATGGCAGTTCCACTACCTGGAGTCAGTCATAGAGAAAGGTGATCTTGAACCTCCAGCCACTTACATTTTCCCCAGCAGCCAGCTGTGATATGCTGTTAGAGGAGGATAGTCCAGTCCCCAGTATTGTAGATCATACAGGTACCACTTTGCCATGGGCAGATGAGTGGTAATCTCCATCCAGTGTCGCTGCGCCTCGAAGTCACCGTGCATCGGGGGTACCTGGAAGCCTTGTCGTCATTAGTCTTCGGGAACATTGTGTTCAAGACGCCCATGCAACGTACCAGAATACCCCCATAGACTAACTGCCCAACGGAATAGGCCGACAGCCATCAGAACAAGAGGCAGAACAAGCCATTGAGAAACACCTGCCCGAGCGGACCACAGGAATGAAACCAGAGGAAATGCGGGAGACGACTTGCCGCCTGACTCGGCAATGAGAGAATTGTTGGAGCCCGTGTATGACGAGGGGAACTTTCTCTTCTTCCGCGGGCGATAAGAGGATGGAGGAGCCATTGCCGCGATAATAGACGAAAATGAGTCTAGTATACCATTGACTCAATGTGATCCGTGTCTGTGTTAATTGCGATGATGGTGCACGCAAAGAGGGAAGAGCAAGGTCAGGAGTAAGTAGAACTGTAGTGGTACGTGGTACAGACGGGAGTGGACCAGACCAGCTCCGGGGAATGACACTCTGTTGCTTCAACGAGGGCGGTGGGCGGATCTAGGAATGACCTCCGTACTTATCGGTAGCTAGCTACCTTGGTAATTCTACAGAAGACAGTAGGGGTGGCTTAATTTTCTTTAATTCAAATTATCGGAAGCTATCAAGTTCCATGAAGATGTGCAGACTGATTGACCTCTTTTCAGAAAATTGCAAGGGATCACCAAGTATCTTGTGTTTCACGGCTTCACGGCTTCACGGCTTCACCCAAATACTCGAGGGGCGAGGCCACCAGGCACCTGGCACCGGAGCCAGGCGCACTTAGTCAGCGATGCATGCGGTGTGGCTGGTGGGTCCGAGTACCTCGACTAAGACCAGGAGTGCAGGCGGTAGCCCCTGTGGATTTTTTCTGCCCGTCTCCAGTTTTGCGACTAGTCGAATTTTTTTTTCCCCCGGCCGCCTTATCGGAGCTCCCAGCAGTAGAAATTTTCTTCTTTTTCTTCTCCCCCTTCTGTCTTCATCCTCTCACTTCTCTTCATCCCTTTTATCCCTCATCTTCATTCCTCTTTTGAGATTCAAACCATCGTTTGACTCTCTTCCAACTTATTTCTTAACTGACTCAGCTGTATCTTACTAGGTACACCGTAACAGACATTCTGTGGGCTTTTTACCTTGAGGGCTGTGGGTTGTAACATACTACGTTCTATTCTGTGGGATCTGTTGGATACTTCCGTGGGTTTCATATCATAGACAGTAGCGTTTCTCCTGTCTTACTCGTGTGGGCTTGAACACTGTCAGTTGTGGGTTACCTGTGGGTATTTGCGAAAGCAATCAGTGGGCTATTCTTATCTCAAATCGGGTGATTTGTGGGACTCAAGAAAATTTTCGCCGCACAAGAAGTTTCTTTGTGATCAATTTTATCTGGTATGTCTCCACCCCGGCTCTCATATATCGACCCATCCGCCATCCGCCATCCTTACCTTCTTCCACTAACCAACCGTTCTTCCTATCCCCAGATTCAAGATGTCTAAGACCAAGTCCGTTTCCAAGAAGGGTGAGAAGCCCGTTGACAAGGCCTTGAGCAAGGTCAAGGATGCCGGTGTGAGCAAGGCTGCTCAGTCCCCCAAGTCCAAGAGCAGGCAGATTGCCAAGGCTGTTGTGACCAAGGAGAAGAAGTCTTCCAAGAAGAAGAAGGAGCCTACTCCCTCTGAGTCTTCCGAGTCCGAGTCCGACAGCGATGAGGAGATGGAGTCCGACTCTAGCTCCAGCAGCGAGAGTGAGGATGAGAAGCCCGCTAAGAAGGATAACAAGAAGAAGGTCGAGTCCGAGTCCGACTCTGACTCCGATAGCGATGAGGACATGAAGGATGCCTCCAGCAGCGAGAGCGAGAGCGAGAGCGAGGATGAGAAGCCTGCCAAGAAGGAGACCAAGAAGGTTGCCAAGAAGGAGGAGTCCAGCGACTCCGAGTCCTCCGAGTCTGAGGATTCTGACTCTGAGTCCGAGAAGGAGGCCCCCAAGAAGGCCGAGAAGAAGGTCGAGTCCGAGTCTGACTCTGATTCCGACTCTTCCTCTTCTGAGGATGAGGCCCCCAAGAAGGCCGCCAAGGAGTCCAGCGACAGCGACAGCGACTCTGACTCCGAGTCTGAGGACGAGAAGAAGGCTGAGAAGGTTCGCGTCACCCCCCAATCGATCCTGACAAACATCTCATGCTAACTTGAACTACCTAGGAATCTTCCGACTCTGATTCTTCCGACTCTGACTCCTCCGACTCTGAGTCTGAGGAGAGCGACGAGGCTCCCAAGGAGTCCAAGAAGCGCAAGGCTGAGGACGAGAGCGCCGCTACCCCCAAGAAGACCAAGGTTGAGCAGCCCGCTGAGGGTGCTTCCGCCAACCTTTTCGTCGGCAACCTGTCCTGGAACGTCGATGAGGAGTGGCTCCAGCGCGAGTTCGAGGGCTTCGGTGAGCTCTCTGGCTGCCGCATCATGACTGAGCGTGAGACTGGCCGCTCTCGCGGGTAAGCATTCTATTCCTCCTTTGGTATCTGAGTCTTTGCTAATCCTGTATCCTAGTTTCGGCTACGTTGAGTTCACCAACGCTGCTGATGCTGCTAAGGCTTTCGAGGCCAAGAAGGGCGCCGAGATCGATGGCCGTACCATCAACCTCGACTATGCCACTGGCCGTCCCGCCAACAACCAGGGTGCTCCCCGCGACCGTGCTGAGAACCGTGCCCGTAACTTCGGCGACCAGGCCAGCCCTGAGAGCGACACCCTGTTCATCGGTAACCTTCCCTTCAGCGCCAACGAGGACTCCGTTGGTGAGCTCTTCGGCGCTCAGGGTACCATTCTCGGCATCCGTCTGCCCACTGACCCCGAGTCTGGCCGCCCCAAGGGCTTCGGCTATGTTCAGTACTCTTCCGTTGACGAGGCTCGCGCTGCCTACAACGAGCTCAACGGTGCCGAGCTTGAGGGCCGTGCCGTCCGTCTGGACTTCAGCACTCCCCGTCAGAACAACAATGGCGGTGGCCGTGGTGGCGGTCGTGGCGGTTTCGGTGGCCGCGGCGGCGGTGGTGGCTTCGGTGGCCGTGGCGGCGGTGGCCGTGGTGGTGGTCGCGGTGGCCGTGGCGGCTTCGGCGGTCGCGGTGGTGGTGCCGGTGGCTTCAACAAGGGCAAGGGCTCTATCCCCGAGTACAAGGGAACTAAGGTTACCTTCTAAGTGCATGCGTAGGTGTATCTTTGTCAAGCCTTGACCGGTATTGTCTGGGTGTTTTTTTTTTTCTTTTGCTTTTCACGGAGGATGTTTTAAAAGTTCTTGTTGCATTTCCTTACGTTTTCAGGATAACCCCCTCGGTAACATAGTTTGTGATATCTAGGATAGAACAATTTAATGAATGGCCATGACCAAAATGAAACCTCGTTGCTCAATATTTCAAGCTGTTGTTGCTGTTGTTGTTGTTGTTGTTTGCTACGAAGTTTACTATGTTGTGTTGTACCGTGGTTGCGGATGAGGGAGGTCTTTGTCTGATAGAGAGCTGGTAGGCGGGGAGGGAACCCCTCCGAGGTCGGCTTTGTTTCCGTCGCGCGACCTACGGAATATCACCACCACTCGGTTGTTGCCAACTCTTCTGGCTGGCTGGGCTGCATCGTGGATCAGGCAGATCTGCTGCAATGATGAGCCTATCAAAGTGGGCCAGTCACGGTGCGCGGTCGGATGATCAATCACAGCATGCGGCCTCGTGTTCCCCTCCATTCTCCATTCTCCATACGCCAGTCCGGCAGTACTCTTTCTCTACCGAGTATGTCCATCCAGCCAGTGCTGATGCTGACTGTTTGCAACAGTTGAGTTGTTTGACTGTTTGGCTGTTTTCCTCCCCCCCCCCCCCACCTTTCTCTTTACTCTCCTACTCACCTACTCTCCTTTCCCTTCCCATGCTTGTTTGCAAGTCCTCTCTTCCTTGCTCCTCATTCACAGACTTGTGCAAGTCGTGTGTTTCTTTTCTCTATGCTTCATCTCTGTGTCTCATCTCCTCGTTCTGATCCCTTGTCTTTTTGATTCCTTGCAACTTTGTGTCACGGGTGATCGTTGGAGTGTCTAGTCCCACATTTGATAAGATCAACTCTATATCGACTACTCCACCACCCACTCCATCACTCCATCCTTCCATTCAATCCATTTAATCCATCCATCCATTACTTACTCATACATTAACCCCGCGCTTTGGGACTGACCGCTCCCTCTCAGCGCTGTCCATCACTGGTCGGTCCGCCTGCCGTCCCCGTGGCCTGAGGATCACCCGTGGATCTCGCTTCCAGTCATCCCATCATCCCTCTCCTCTTTCTCCTCATCCCTTTTGTTAAATCACCATCTCCTTATTCTTCTTCTCGACTTCTCGCTCTTTCTTTCTCTTTCTTTTCCCTTTTCTTATTCCCCCCATATTCCCTTTCTTCCCCCTCTTTCTTCTTCCTCCATATAGCCTCATTCAACTTGCCTCAGGCAGCCGATCCGGACCTTGTCTGTTTCCTCGCTACTGCCTCTCCATTTCTCCCTAGTACACCTTTCATCATGCAACCAAATCACTATGACTTGCTGGGTCAGGTGCAACACGAAGACCCTCGATTAACCGGTCGACTGACGCGAGACCCTCATCAGTCGTCGCGCGATCATCTACTTCCTCATCAGTCACGTTCTCCCGCTGCCCGCGACCCCACGAGATCAGAAGGTACGTCATCGCCTCACAGCCTCCCCAGATATCTACTCTGCCCCTGCATGCTCGGCAAAGACCATGCTATCCCTATGTTCAAACTCATTTCGCGCCATTTAGATGTATATTCGATATTATCATGTACTCACTTCGTTACTATATAGATTCCTGGATCGAGGTCTCGTCCCAGCCGTCATCCTCATCCCTCTCCTCCGCAGGCACCAACGACGATATCATTACTACCGGTCTTCGTGTCCAGCAGCAAGATCCCGGTCGGTATCATCGCAGTCGACGACGACGGCTACAACAACTTGCAGCCATCACCACAGCTCAGGTAGATTACGCATCCCGCGAACACAGTAGCAGTCAAGATGAATATGAGGAAAGCGAGAGTGAATCCGATCAAGTACTCAGCAGCTCCGAAGATATGACTCGCCCACCCGAGAGACCGCACCCATTTCTGGTACCCACAGGCCCATCCCCGCTGCCATCCGATGTCCCCACAGATGAGGATGAGGATGATGACGATAATTCAACCGCGCTAGGCATGCGCATCAGCTCATCCCCATTTGTGCCTCAACCGAATGTCTTCTCTCATCCGCCAGCGTCCCAGGACCCCTCATGGACAAGACCTATGGAAAGGCGGCACGCCTCGGAACCCAGTGAGGTGTCGAATTCCAGCCGACGGACAGCCATCAGGGCGCGGCGGAATTCGCAAGCCAGCATTCGCTCAGTTCGCAGGTCATCCTACCAGCACAGTCCATACAACATGATCTCTCCATCCCACCACGCCGATCACGATGCTGCTCTCCGAGCCAGTCTTTCAACGTTACTTTCCTGCGCTGCAGCAGCTCGAGGCCTCCCTAAGTCAGATACGCAGCCAGTCCAGCCAGGTCCCTCGCGAGCGCCGG